CCGGCAAGTGTTCCCGAGGTGCGGCACCCCGTGATCCCTTGCGGCACCCCGTGGCCTCTCGCTGGGACCAGCCGGGCCCCGGGCAGCGGAGTGAAGGCGGGTTTGGAGGCCAAGCGGGGGCCAGGGCGGCCGAGGGGTTGCGCCATTTTTCGGGGCCAGTCGTAGTGCGGGTCGGGCGACCCGCCCATCACCTGCTTGCGCAACTCATCCGCAAACGCCCCCGGCACCGCCTTTCCCTCCGCCGCCTCCGCCGCCTGCAGGGCCTTCACCGCCGCCGCCGCCTCCGCCGAGGCCGCTGCCACCGCCAGGTCCTCGCGCTGTTGCGTCGCTGACAACGCCCGCCGTGCTTCCTGTATGCGCAGCACGTTGTCTACTGCACGCCCCAAGCTGCCGTTGCAGGCTCCTGCTCAACAGAAGCCACAGCACCGCTCGTCACACGCATCGAGACTCACAAGTCACACTTGCACATCCAAACACTAATTTGAATGTCTTCCACAAGTGTTAATGTTCTACTAGAGGGAAAACTACTGTTTCTGATTTCTGTAGGCAATTTCACAAAACTTTACTTAAATCATACATTTATATTTTACAGACATGGGTTTTTATACATAACATTGTTGTTTTTTTGTTGTTGTTTTTTCTTCGCAAGTGGACTGGACGTGTTCTTGCTTATTTCCCCTCTCATTGTCAGTTTTCAAGTGATATTGAGTTACGGCTTCCTGTATCATCATTATTCATAACTTAATCACATGGGGTTGATTCACTTAGCGATTGCTGCTCACAGCGCATGATCTCGCTTTGCAAATCTAGCCCATGTACCAGAGGGGATTTTGTAAAATTTTGTAGTATAACAATAAACAAAGTGAACGGCATATTGTTTTGACCTAAGAATAATTTGTTACTAGTAGAAAATGTGCGTCATTTTTAATTCACAAACACTTGCTTGATTCCTGGATATGTAACATGAGACACTTACGTAACACATTGTAAAGGAATCGGCGGTCGGCGTCTGGGAAAAGCCGCACCAATCGGCGATAGTCGAGAAAGAGCGCAAAGGAGGCGTTGTGCTGAGGCGGCAGGTCGATCAATCGCGGATTACGCCATGCAGAGTACACCTTCTGACGCGCCGTAAGCGTCGCCTGCCCGGTTGGAGGTGGCGCCGGTGACGCTCCGTTCCTTACCTGCCACGAGCACACATTCAATGAAAACACAGTTATACACTACGAGTCAAATGAGGAGGTTCCAAGTTCGCTGTCACGCGCCATTGCCGCCACCTAAACAACAGCGAATCGAAATCTGTGCGCCGACTGAAGTGGACAGGACATAGTCTGATGTCACAGCAGTGCCTGGTAGATCCTAGGGTTAGAATCCCAACTAGTAGGATTTCCGACACGAGCTATTTTTTTTAATTAAAAGAATTAGATGGTTGGAATATGCAATAGAAAGTATATTATACTCCGGTATCTATCCACATTATTTCATCCAATAATAATAATAATAATAATAATAATAATAATAATAATAATATAACAAGATACTAAGGTAAAAAATGGAATATCCAGAAGAAATAAGGTAACAAATGTAGAAAAATTTGAAAAGTTCTTAACATCTACGAATAAATGCGTACAGAATTAAAGAAATTACAACAAGAAAAAATAATTGTATTACTTTATACTTACTTAATATACTTTACAATAGACAATTCATTCATTTGAAGATTGTAAAAAAGCTGACAAATGTCACATATATGGTAAAAATTGTAAAGATAATTAGGTAAAAAATGGCCGTTTTCAGGCGCACGTTTACAATACGTTCTCTTCTTGCGAAGTAAATAAAAACGTAGCTTAGAATGACAATAAAACGAGTGCAGTAAGACGTCCAGCTTGTAATTCATGTAGGTTAAATTAAAAACTACCGCAATTTGTTGCTATTCACAACTTTAGATATGATTCAGAAATATGTTTACAGTGGCTTTTAAAATTCAGTGAAAATGATCCATATATTCCTATTCTACCAAACATAACAGAAATGTATATCATATTGTCAAAACATGTTATGGTAAGCCATACATCATCCGAAATGATAAATCAATAATAAATGATAAATCAAACCAGTTCTAAATTTTCAAAAAATCACAAAAAAATTATAGGAGCATGTGAATTGTTAACATATCAATACAAAACTTGTACAAATATGTAATATTATCAAAAATGTTATTCAATTTAGATTCATAGATATGTTTCAGTTTATTAGCAAAGGTTAATATCAAATAGTAAAAAATGTAGGTGAAGTAAATAGCTGCAATTGTTTAAAACGTAAATCAAAGCAAGAAATACAAAATGTAAGATTATTATCAACAAATAAATATAATACATTAAAAACTAAACAAATTCTAGAAATTTTTATTACACAGTATACAAGCCAATTAATTACACAAAATTTGAAAGTATTTGCAAAGCACTTAAAAAATTTACATCTTGTAATACAAAACAATTTTATCCATATGATTGAGTTATTTGATATGATAAACTTAATTCAGATATACCATTCAATAAAGTTGAATGGAATTCATATTTAAAAAAATAAACATTTTGATTACTGATATGTAAAAAAGTATATACAAATTTAATTGTTAAAATTTTGATTATTATTATTATTAATATTTTATTTTAGAAAGTATTTTACTATAAGATATTTGAGAACTTTGGAAAATATGAAAAAATTATCAACTTGATCCTGTTTATTACATATTTGCACTTCGTTTAGCAGATTGTTCAACTTTAAAATTAATGAGAGAATCTTTACATTTAATTTCGGATCAAAATTAATAGGATATGCATTCATCTGGTGTATGAGGTATTACATTTATAATTCCACACAGCTATACACATGCAAATAATTGCTACATTATTGATGAATGATCTGAAAAACAATACAAAAAACATACATCTCGCATTCTTTGTAAATGCTTGGCAACATTATACCACTACACAAACCAGCAAGTGTTTGCAAGCAACCAATTTTTTTCCTGCTCAGACACTCAAACGCCGATTATCAGAGTTAACGTGCTGGCACTCATGCCACTAATTGTGAAATTGTAAAGAATTTGAGTCGTTTTTTGAGAAAATTTTGAATATGTTCGGGGGCTTCCTGTAAAGTAGCCCCAAATTTTAAAGAAAGTTTTTCAAGGTCGCAGCGCCTCGAGTCGAGCCACATCGGCCGCGGAAGTGATTTCACAAACCAAAATATCCATTTCAATCTCCCAAAGCCGTGATTTCATTCAGAATATTGAGGAATATCAATTTTGAAGATAATCGGCAGAAGGTGTAGACGCTAGCCTCACTGACAGATACACAGGTGGATAGCCTTTTTGTCGTCAATCGATTTTTAGGTATCAAGGACCACCAAACATGGATTCTGACTATACAACGTGTGTGATGAGTTAACTATAGTATTATATATGAGGTATATAATATAATATAGTATTATAGATATAATAGGTAATAATATAGTATATGTGTGTGTGTGTGTGTGTGTGTACTATTTGGTGGAATTGAGCTATCAAAATTAGTAATGTGTAAGTTATATTATAATGTCTTAAAACCAAAATATGGTGATAAAGCAATAGATACTAATTCGTTTACTATATGTTGAAATCGATAGTTTCTTGGTGATGGTGGTGGATGACTGCGTATTGAATATTTTCGTGGCATTTTCTGGTCGATCTCGTCATTCCGGATCAGACAATGGATCGACAGTAGAATAAAGCCATTCTTGGGGATGTGTTCGTTCCTATATCCATAACGTGTTTCCTCAGCAAGACGGCAACTACCAGCAGAACTATGCAAGGCGTCTTACAGCTCGCAGTGTACGTCCGTGGTTCTGGGAGCACCGTGATTAGATAACAGTACTTCCCTGGCCGCCAAACTCTCTTGTTTTAAACCCACTCAATAACCTGTAGGACCATTTTGATCAGGCTGTTTGCGCCATGGATCCATTACCGAGAAAATAGCGTAGTTGGTTACACCACATCCCCGTCGGTACCATCCAGAACCTAACAATTTTCTGCACGTCTCAGCTGCACTCTGTGCTGCAAAAGGGGGTTACTCAGGATTTTGCCGGGTAGTCACATTGATGACTAAGATTCACACACACACAAATGTGTATATATATATATATATATATATATATATATATATATATATATGACAAAATGGTCATTAATATTGTGATACAATGATGGAACACAAACGTTACCCTAATGTATGTATGTACTGTATTTACGCAAATCTAATGCACCTTTTATAGAAATGTATTACTCAAAATTGTGGTGTGTATTAGATTCGATGGCGCATTGTATTCAAGTGCAAATTCGTTCTGTAGAACACCAGTACCTTCAATTTTTTTGCATTCCAAAGGATAGCTGGAGTTTTCAAGTTCAACTTTGATTCATTTATCTTTGGTCTATTATTGAGGGCAGATAGTTACAATATGGAACTGTGATAATAGTCGTTTTTAATAGCAACAGAAACTATAAGTCACATAAGTATATATAACAACAATAACTAAAGTTTATATCCTTGAGGATCAAGCATCAAGATTCCTTTATACATTTTCTAAGCGCGGTATACCGACTGTGAATTGGTTAAAAGTTTTTCAAAATCTCCTCTATTTATTTTTCATTTCATATTCCCGTTTCTGTTGCTATTTTTGTTGACACACACATGAGTAAAACTGGTTATCTTTCACTAGAGTTCATAGTAAAATAATATTCGGAGAGTGGCCTAACTCCTAAGACAGTTATTTGTTATTTATGGTTTTGGCAGCCTACATTACTATAGAAGTAGAAAATTCCATTGAAAATCCATGAAGAATATATAAAAAAATAAAGGTGTTCATAAAACGTTAACAAACTAAAAGGAATGGTTCTTGTTTATTTTATATAATGTGGCTTGCTATTGCTTATTTTATCTTTCCTTGCTTCAATAAAAAACGGAAATAATCTTCAAATTTTTATTGTTACAATTATTTGTAATGTAACAAATAATCAAAATTCATGATTTGAAGGATGGGGTTATAAAGAAATGAGGTGCTGCTAGAGGGAGCACTGCAGCAGCCTGATGGAAAATCTTTAGCAGCAATCTGGGCAACAGGGCAGGAATCTGTCCGCGGAGACCGGCCATTAGCAGTGGCATGGTCAGCCGTTGCAGGCGGGCCACCTTCAGCAGCGGGTGCGACAGGTGCAGCGGCAACAGCGGCAGCGGCAACGGCGGCAGCGGCCGCAGCGGTCACAGCGGCAGCAGATGGCCCAGCTGCGGCCCTCATCCACATCCACCCTTTGCAACTTCCACGGGATGCGGTGAGGGTTTGACCACTATACGAATTGTAAATACACAATGTAGCGTGACTATATACGATTTTCATGCAAAATATATCACAAAGTAGCATACAAATTTTATGTCACTTGATAATTTACTAATAGATTATTGCTGAATTTTTCCAAGTGGTATAAAGAAATATATATTTTCTTAATAATTAATTTAAAGAATGCCACAGACTATTTATTACAAAGACTATCCGTAATACTCATATTTTATGTTTGGTGTCAATACTGTAAGAAACAAGAGGAGCTACAACAACACATACATTATTTATTTTGAGATTTTTGAAAATGTAGAAAGTTGAGGGAAAACGATATCCGCTCCATTTTGATCTTTATGTGAGGAAAACATTTAAACAAAAAAATAGAGCAATTTTTGAGATTTTTTATCAATGGCATTAAATTCAAGAAGTGCTCGAATATTCAAATAATAGTACGTGACAATATTTCTAGATCTACAATTTGAGAGCCGATTTCACCTAAGGAAACAATATCATCAATATTTTAATTTTGCGTTTATTGATATTTTTTTGCTATTTTTGGAAATACAGAATTCTCCGAAAATTATATCAGTACCCCCCGTTATTTGCTATATTTGAGCAAAACTTCAAAGATAAATCTGAAACAGTTTTTTAAGAAATAATTGTTTAAAATTTGCTATTAAAAACGACTCATAGTTTTTAAAAATTGTAAATGACCTTTCTGTTTCTAATACTATAGTTGTAGGAACTACGGGCTGTTATAACACCATTAGTTTTAAAAAGCAAGCCCCCTCGTGAAAATAACTCCTAGCAAGTACACTTACACATTGCTTGCTGAGTTAAATAAAGGTTTCATAGTTCATTTTCGTTTCATTTCTGAAATATCCCATGTCCCTAAAAAGCGATGTATTTTTCAAATGACCCCTTGGGTAATACCATGGCGAGAGGAAACATTACAACATGGTTATTAATTACTGTTTTTACGAACGCCTGCGAAAAAGGTTTGCGTAGAATCTGCGATGATGTAATGATTTATCACATAAAATTATATTTTATGAACAATTCATTGCAACAGAAAAGCCTTATCATTATAAAGAGAAATATTGTGTCAGAAAAAGCCTTATCACTTATCATTATAAAGTATGCAACAATTTGTATTTGTAATAACGAATTCTGCATATTTGTATTTTTGTTCAATGATCTGTAATTCTCTTCTCTTTGGAAGTATTTATTGTGGTTGTCCTATTATTTTAAAAAAGGACTGAAAATTTTAAAACAATTAAATTAGTGATTAAAAAGAGAATAACAGGACATAGAAAAAGATAAAAAAAATTATACAAATAGGAAGTATTCAATATCCCAACAAAAAATATCTTACATTATAGAATGAATTTTGATTAGTTTCATATTTTGCCAGTATAACTCAACAGGAATAGGATATTAATACTAGAAACTCTGAATATAAAAACTCAGAATACTATGAATACAGTAAAAGAATCATAATAGTTAACGACGATTTATGAGAATATATTAAATATTTTTCGGCAATTACACATCCCCCCTTTCTAACATTAGGATAACTCAAATCAAAATTTCCTTCCCAACTTTCAACCCTTTCCTCAATTCCGTTACTCCATCTTCGCAACGACTCTATTTAAACGGTCATGTGGCTGGACTGCACCCCATCACGTACCAGTGGGGCGTCACTTAATAGGTGGGAAGACGTCCTTATTTCAGAGTAATGGTGGTGGGATCTCTCGGTGGTCGCCTTTGATGCACTTTCGTTTAAGAGTTAATTTGGTAGTTTGGAAGAAAATGGCGAAATATAGGGGTTTTTGGGATCCAGATTGCCACAATAGCCGAAGGAGAGATGCGGAAAAGACAAGGCTGTGTTCTTTCCCAAGTGATCCTGACTATAAGTGAAATTCAAAATTTGGCATGGTTCGTTTCGAATGGTTTCAAATTATTAGGAAAATGAATATTGTTGATTTATTTATTTACAAATAGGCCCTGGCTAACTTAAATAACATCAAGTTTTGCTAACATAGACTAATTTTAACAGTTATTAACAAATAATTTATAACAATGACTCTTAAATAGTTCTTCAAAAAACAAAATCAATATAACCAAATTAATAATTCTTTAACAGTTCATCTGATCATGAAATAACTTCCCTCAATTTATATAAGAAATTAAGTTTCTTGGTTATTTTGTTCTTAATATATTGAATACGATATTTAAAACATACACGGTCTTCTGTAATAACTGCAAGATATTTGTATGTTCTAACTCATTTCAAATTTTCACCGTTAAGCACAATTGATTGTCTTGATTCTACTTCTTCCCTAAATTTATCTTGCCCCATAACTATATACTTTGTTTTACAAACATTAACAGTCAAAAAATGCATGCCCAACCATTTATTAACCAAAGTTAATTCTCTATTAATCTAATACTATTCCTATATAGTTGTTTTTTATATAGTGTTATTATTTTTGTTTGCAATGATATTAAATTGAATGTTTTTTACTTAACAATTTATATATTACAAATTTTATTGTTGGTTTACGAAATGGCTGATGGTAATTAGGACCAAAACCTTGTTTTTTGTCTATGGAGGACATTAACAAGGGACGTGTGTGCATGACCTGGTGAATACAGAAACCTTATTTTATGAAGATAAGACAGAACTACATACCTTGAATTTCAATAATTTCATCTTGTAATACAAAACAATTTTATCAATATGATTGAGTTATTTTATATGATAAATTTAATTCAGATATATTACTCAATAAAGTTCAATGGAATTAAGATTTAAATAATGAACATTTTGATTTCTGATTTGTAAAAAAGGATATAAAAATTTAATTTTTAAATTTATTCTGATTATTATTATTAATATCTTATTTTAGAAAGTATTTTATTATAAGATGTTTGAGAACTTTGGAAAACATATGAAAAAATTATTAACTTGATCCAGTTTATTATATATTTGCACTTCGTTTAGCAGATAGTTCAACTTCAAAATTAACCTCTTTTTGTATTAGAGACCGCTCCCTACCTGCTGGAAAGAGAGTGCAGGGCCTGCTGGAGATGGAATTCATTCCAACTATGATACAAAATATAATGCAGTCAATTTTGGTAATCTCTTAGTATTGCTGTGTGGTAATTTTGGATTTCAAGTGATGTCATAATATATAGTGTTGTTCATGGTCCATTTATATTCATAATTGTCTGTTCAGGAAATAGACGGTTTTTGACTGGTTTTAAAATTAGTTAGTATCACTGTGAAAAGATTTGTTTCATCAATCACATTGGGTGGAGTGTGAGCTGTTGTGAGATGGTCAAAGCGTGAGTTCAGTGCAAGTAGTGGGAGACAGGGAGAGTTTTCACGAGTAATTTACATTGTTCTAATGCTGTCACTAGAACGAATATTATAAGAAGTGATACAAATCGTGTGGAAAAAGATGAGAATATGTTTGTGTGTGAATTAATCATGTATGTAAATCGACATGCAATACATTCTTAATTTCAAAGAGCCTTGTTTTTTTCTTTCAATATGTTCTTAATTAAGTCTGCAACAGACTAAATTGTCACAATGTTATGTATTTAAATATTGTTTGAAAAGTCAGTTTTAAAGAGTACATTTCATGAATTTTATCTGAATAAATACATTCATATGTGAATATTCTCCATTTGGTGGAAAGACAAAAATAAAAGGGAGGATCATGGTACAAGCACATTTTAAGTTATCTAATGTTTGAGTAATGAGAATCATTTGTATGAGTTAATCACCGATAATGTCTCTCAATTAGTTTCACATCAATGTGCATCAAAAAATTTATTTCGTAACTGAACAGACAATAATGAAATCTTTTTTAAATAATTGAAGACCTATTCAATACCCGTTACAAATATTATTAAGTGATTCTGGGTATTTCATCTATCTTTGGGTTTTCATGTGCTGTCCATTTAGTAACTTGCTGTGCTTTTGAACATTAACATATCAAATGAAATACTTGGATACTAGTGAAACCTACTACTGTTCTGAGATAAATCTAGTTGAAAGAGATTGAGTTAATTTTTTTTACTCAATGCCTCAATTTAGCTAGATTAAGAGTACACTTGTATCTTGCCGGTATGTTGTCATAAATCTTCGTAAACTATTTGGACTCTGTATTCATAATATTCTGAGTTTTTATATTCAAATTTTCTAGTATATAGAAATATTGATTAGTAGCAAAATACAAGCACACCTACCGGCAAATTTTTGTAATGTTTATGTTATTCCTTCCTTTAATGAATATTGTAAAAATCATATTGGTTTCGTCATTCTGAACTATGTTTATAAATAAATTTTCAGTTGTACCTGATGGAGGAGACAGAACAGTATCCGAAACGTCGTCAGATTTCATAAAATTGTTATAGAAAAATTGGAAGTATTTATTGTAGTAAATTTTAAAAGAGGGACTGAAAAATATATAAAATTACAAATATATTTATAATATATAATTGTATATAAAATACAATTATAGTACTGACAACCAATTTAAAACCTACATCTCATTAACTTACTGTGCCATAGGAATTGTGTTTAAATTCTACAGTATAGCATTTTTTATACTCGTCCTCACAAATATGGGAAGATTTTTACGAAGAACACAAAGTATTTTATGAAATGATTAATAGTATGATAAACAATTTAATAATCACACAGTATTTAAACACATAATGTAAAATATTATTTGACGCAAACTTAAGTGCAACAATGCACTGAAGGACAAAAGAAGATTCTAGATAACTAAACGAAGCATGGATGTAGCAAACGGGGAGCGGGAAAACCATTACCCTCCTCATTTGTAAGAAATAACCAAGAAGTCTGTAAGAAGGACTTTCAACTCCGTTATGAAAAGTGTGGGCAGCTAACAGAACACACTTAGCTTTAGCGACATCACGCTCTCAATGGGAGAAACGTTAAGGGCATTTGCGACTAATTGCCTCCAATTTCAT